ATATAGCTGTTCTTACAATTAAAAAGATAAAGACATTTTTGAGTTTTCTTTGAAAATTTTTTAAAATGAATAATGCTTCTAATAATGCTTCTAATGATGATACTCCCAACAACATTTCTAATAATGCTTCTAACGATGATATTTCCAACAATACTTTTAATAATACATCTATCAAAAATACTTCTAATAATACTTCTAACGCTTCTAATAACATTTCAAACACTTCTAATAATACTTCTACTACTTCAATCAATAATACTTCTAATAAAAACTTACCTCCTAATAACAATTTATCTTCTAATAACAATTTATCTCCTATTAACGCTTTACCACCTATTACTAATTTGCTTACTAACAATACTTTATCTCCTAATACTATTTTACCTCCTATTAACAATTTACCTGATAATATACCTTTTCTTATCCTGCTATATCTATCAATACAACTTGATACCAATCGATTACTTCTTATTTATCTCAAAATATCACTGACTCATACCAACCATGTAATACTTATGATGATAATTTAGTTTCGTATTTATCAGTTAAAAGTATTATAAGTATACAGAGAATATTTACAAGAATAAGTAGAAGAGAAAAAAACCGATCTCAAATGTATCAAGCCATTTAATCTCAATAATGATTTCTCTTATTACAATTTCAACATTATATCTTTTAATTAAAAAGTTAAGCAATAATATTCATGATGTTAAGAAAAAACTAAGGTGCAAAAGGATAGACCAAGAAAAGGATCTTTTTTCTAAAGTATTGAATGTAAGTATTTTGTTAACACAAAACACTCTGGCTATATTAATATCTGAATATACTGGCATCTGACAATTTGTATATATACTTAATATAAAAATGCTACTGGCTAAACCAATATCTGGATATATTAGATATTTTTTTATTTTTATTGAAATGTTGATATAACCAAAGTGATATATATATAGAATATATATTTAAGTTATTTGTTTTAATGATTTTGTAGAAAGTATATACTGGTATTGTAAATTGTCTTTTTCCTCAACATATCTATCCAATACAGCATATTAAAGGAAGCTCTCAAGAATTATCTAAACGAAAACCTTTCCAAATTCATGTTGGACATAAGTAAAAATAAGTTTACCAATAAGTTCTATGGTGGCTAGTATAGTCAAGTAAGCAATTTTTATGTGAATAATTATAATTGTTTATTTATTAATATTTTATACTAATATATTAAATATTTTTTTAATAGCTTTTACAAAAAATAAAAAATTATCGTGACTCAGTGTTGCAAAATATCTGCTTGTCTATTTGGAAGGTCTTCAGTCAGAAAAAGCTCTCTCTACTTAAAAGTAATACAGTTCCCAGTGAAATAATAAAGTAGAAGCAAAGTTTACAAGTTAGTAAATGCTACTGCATTCTTTTTGAAGAGAATGATAAAGGTTTGCTTTGGTTAGTATCATCACATGAATCACCTTCAGCATTATTCATTTTAAAAAATTTTCAAAGAAAACTCAAAAATGTCTTTATCTTTTTAATTGTAAGAACAGCTATAT